AAGTAGTTTTTGTTTTTCTGAGCGTGAGGGGAGTGGTAGGGAGATGAGAACACCAGAAAAATTTATTTAACATTCTTTAGTTCAGATCCTGATTTTTTTTTTTTTTTTTTTTTGTGGTACGACATACGTAACATAAAAGTTACCCTTTTAACCGTTTTTAAGTGTACAATTCAGTGGTACTATGTACATTGACAACATTTTGCAACCATCACCACTGTTTCCAGAACTTTTTTGATCATCTCAAGCAGAAGCTTTATACTCATTAAACAATAACTCCCCTTTCCACCTTCCTCCTTGCCTCCCTCTCCCCCGACCCCTGGTAATCTCTTTCTGTCTAGGTGAATTTGTCTATTCTAGGTCACTCATAATAAGTAGAATCATACAGTACTTATTCTTTTGTATCTAACTTATTTCACTTAGCATGTTTCACAATTTCATTGCTTTTTAAAGCTGAATAATTCCATCGTATGTATATAACTCATTTTTTTGAATCTATTCATTCGTTTATGCATGTTTGGCCTGTTTCCATATTTTGGCTATTGTAAATACTGCTGCTGTGAACATTGGTGTACAAGTCTCTGCTTTTGAGTCTTTTCAATATATTTCTAGAAGTGGAATTGCTGGATCAAATGGTAATTCTATATTTTACTTTTTGAGGAACCACCAAAGTTTCTTCCACAGTTTGCACAATTTTCCACTCCCTCCAGCAATGCACAAGGGTTCTGGAATCTTCACATTCTTGCCAGTACTTATTTTTTGGGTTTTTTGTTTTGTTTTGTTTTTGATAATAGCTATCCTATTGGGTGTGAAGTGGTATCAGTTGTGATCAGTTCTTGACTATGGCGAGATTTTATGAGGATTTTTGGTCAGTTCTTTCAGACTTTGGCCAAAGTTTAAATTGTTGACAATTGAGTATATTGGTTCAATAGTTTATTCATTTTTTTTTTAAAGAAAAATAGAGTTTAAAATTATGTAAAACTTATATTTAATCAACTAAATCATCTCTTTCCAATGAACTCAAGGGCTTTGAGTTTGAAGGATAGTTTCACAGTTTTGGTTAAAATTTTGATTTAAAAACATTGACATAAGACTTGCAATGCTTTTGTAAGAATTAGACTGCAGTCTATTTTTTTTCGTTGGTAATCCTTGTGTAATAATGCAATACTAATTAGACAGATTTGTTGCAAACCAATGTTCCTACATAATGGCACTAAAAAAAGGCTTCAGTTTTTGTAGAGTTTTTATGTAAGAATGTGAGTATCTGACTATAAGATGCTAGTTTAATTTGTAGTATTTCAGTTTTTTTTTAATTCAAACATCAAAATGAGAAAATAAATTCGCTTTCATGGTTAGAAGACATTAATATTTTTGTATATTTAAAATTTAGGTTAATTTACTAACTTCTTTCATTACCATACTTGAATTTGGAAACTGATTAAACAGAATATCAATACTAAATCAGTTTGACCCCCTAACTCATGCAGATAGTTGTTATCATCAGTGAATACAAAAGAACTTTTTCTTGTTGGCAGTAATCAGAATCAGAATCCCTCTGGAACCTGGTTTCACAACCTCGGCACTATTAACATCTTGGGCTGGCTAATTCTTTGCTGTGGGAGGATGTCTGTGCACTGTAGAATGATAAGCAGTATCCCTGGCCTGTAGCACGTAATTACCAGTAGCAGCCCCTCTTACCCCAAGTTATGATAACCAAAAATGTCTCCAGAAATTGCCAGATGTCCCAAATGGGGGGCAGGGCAAAATTGCCCTCATTTGAGAACACAGTCTTGGGAGAATCTGGGAGAAAATAATAATAATTACAGTTTTTTGAAGACTTCCTATGTGTCAGGTACTTTATATACATTAATACTTATAATTATCTGTCAGTATTGATATTATCAATTCCATTTAATTAAAAAAATTGATGTTCAGAGATAATCAGTAGCTTGCCTAGGATCACATATCCCATTAACGAATCCAGTTTGTTTTCAGTGTTTCCTATGTCATTTGTAATACTACTATCTAGCCTAGATCAGAAAGCTAGAAGTCATCAGATGAGGAAGAGTGATCTCTCTCCCTCATTCCCACATCAAATCCGTCACCGATCTTGTCCCCTCCCTTTTCCCAGTCAATCTACTCCTCTTCATTTCTGTTGCTACCAAATTTCTATTGCTCCTAACTGGTTTGCTGGCATTCCTTACCTTCTTACAATTCTTTCTTAACTCTATCTCACTGAAGCCAGAGTAATTTTTCTTCCTAAAATATACATCTGATCCTCTAGTCCCTAGATGAAAACATTTCAAATGATATTTCATTGCTGTTAGGTTAAAGACCACATTCTTTAATGTTGCCTAACAAGACCTTGAATGATCTGGTCATTACCTCTTTAGCCTTATCTCAAATCACACTCTGTTTTGCTTTGCTTCCTTTGTTCTAGCCATGCTGACTTTTGTTCAGTTTCTCAAGTGTACTGTACTTTCTCCTGCCACAGGCTCTGCATATGCTGTTTCTGCTATTCTTTGCCACCTTTTACTCCCTTGTATCTAGTTGATTAAACAGAAGATTCATACAGATCCCACCTTTATTATTGCTCTTTCAAGAAAGCCTTCACCTCTGACTGGGTTACTCCCTCTATTAGCATCTCAAATTGCTACCACAGCTCTAACTTGACAGTTCTTTGAGTAATCAGTTAGTTCTGTGATCCCCAGCCCCCAGGTCTTGGATTGGTTCCAGTCCATGGCCTATTAGGAACCCAGCTGCACAGCAGGAGGTAAGCGGCACACAGCAGGAGGCAAGCAGTGGGTGGCCAGAAAGCAGGTATGTGAGGGAAGCTTCGTCTGTATTTATAGCCGCTCCCCATCAGTCGCTCGCCATTCCTCTGGACCCCCCCATCGTCTGTGGAAAAATTGTCTTCCATGAAACTAGTCTCTGGTGCCAAAAAGGTTGGGGACCGCTGCTTTAGTTAATGTCTTTCCCACTATTCTGTAAGTTCCATACCATTGGGATTGTATCTGCTTTTGCTGACCGCTGTATTCTATCTAGTATAGTCCTTAGCATGTAATAGCATTCAGTAAATATTTGTTTTCTGGAATCACATATTTGAGACTTGAAGTCAAGTGCATGGAACTCCAGAAACCCGCTTTGCACTGTTGTACTAAATTGTTTAAAAAATTCGGATATTTTCTGTTCTCATTGATGTCTGTAGTTTTGATTTTGTAACAGTATTTTAAAATCAAGCACAAAAAAATGATGAATAAAATGATGTGTTGAACTTCAGACAGGGGGAAGCACAATCTTTCATCTCCTATTTATCTTGTCCTTTTTTGTCAACCTTCTCCACTTGTTGTGGTAGAGACCACATTTTTCAAAAATTTCCGAGTGTTTACAACACTGACTGAGCTGTGGAGAAATAGTCATATTCAGATTTTATTAGATAGAAGGGTGGTCACAGGGTTAGTGGGATCATGGGGAAGGTTTCCTGGAATGTGTGTTTAATTTGTAATGCACAGAATCAAGGATTGGATATATATGTTTTTAAATTTCAAAAATAGTGATATTCTTTTATATTTTAGTGTGTAATTGAAAGCTCAGATGCTTAAAAAAATGGCATGAGTATATTATTAGGTTGCCTGAATAAAACTAGCAGTGTTTTTATAGCACCTTTAAAAAAATCATTTGTCTGTAATTCATGCCTTACTTTAAATATTGAATATATAGAATGTAATTACACATAAGCCAACATCATATTGGAGAACAATCTTGAGTCCTGCCTCTAATTCCTGTCATTTTCTCTCTTCTGGTAAGGACTTCAGGGAGGAATCAGGATTTTTATGTATAATCACATAATATGCATTATCAATAACACTAAAGATAGAAACACTGGAAAAGTAAACTTAAAATCACCATACCGATTTTCTCAGGAAAAAAAAGAAATCTTTGTTGAATAGTCTTCTTAAAGGTATCATACAGATTAAAATGAAAAAAGAAAGCACTCATGTATCTCAGTAGTTTAATGTTAAATTATGTATATTGTAAGACAAGAATGGCAGAAATTACTTATAATGTTGCCAGTTTTTTTAGACATGGAAATATTCTAATGAAAAACATTGCCACTTATTTGTCAAAGCTAATGTTAATTTTATTTTTATTTATTATTGCTTAGATAGTAAGAGAGTATGGAACTAAAAAGTGTCCTAGATTTTGGTTGCTGACAGGTCAAATCTCTTATGCTATTTATGGGTTCTGAAATATCCACTTCCATTTTCGGTGTCTGAGATGAAGTTTTCTTTTTTCTGTGATTCAACATCAGTGATTTCTTCTCTTTTCCTAGGCCGTGCTGATGGTTTTTTTCTTCCTTGAAGAAATAAATGCTTATGAAAGAATGACTCATTCTTGTGCCATGAAAACTTATTATATCTCTAATATGTTAGTTTTAATGCTCAAATATTTTGTAAGGAACAAGGATAACAAGTCACAAATCAACTTAAGGGACTTAAGTCATCTGGAAGTGAAAGAATTTGATTCTGATGCCATGTTACCTGATAAGATTTTAATATGATTCAGTGGAATTCCATTGGTTTTCTTATCTTGCTTTTCTTTTTTTTTCTTCCCAATAGGCTTGGCTAATAGCTAAATCTATGATCCATTCAGCATATCTATTTAAATGCTGACTTTTTAGCATTACAGTGGTGCCTGATTTAATAGAAAAACAACTTTTAGAAATAGAATATGTCAGCTGAGAGTTGCTACAGTAGGATATATTTCTTTTCTTTATTTCTCATCAGTCAAGTTGAAATAGGTTGTATTTCATTTGAGGTTTTTCTCCCAGTTTAAACTTAAACTTAATGGTCAAGCCTAAATTTAATCATGTTTTCTTTTTCTTTTCTTTTAATGTATGAATTTTATCCTAGAACTTACAGATGTGATTTTAGGATACTACAGTACAATAAAATCTTAACCACTACCTTCTACTCCCCACTACTTTTATTTTGGTTTTTCAGTTTATGGGAAAAACAGATGGAGACTATTATACTCTGGATGACATGTTTGTCTCCAAAGCAGCTGAGAGAAAATGTCTTGGTGAAGAAGAAGAGAACCAGAGGAAAAAAGCTATTGCTGAGCATCAGAGTCTTGCTGCACAAATGGAAAAATGTCTATATTGTTTTGACAGCTCTCAATTTCCCAAGCACCTTATTGTTGCAATAGGTGTTAAGGTAAGAAATATAAAATTTATTAATCTTTGCTTACTTTCTCATAGAACTTATTTGTTTCTTCTTAGAAAATCTCACAGTTTGAAGAAGCTTATTATGTTTTCTTTGAGTTACTTGTTTATTGGGTCTCTCCCCTAATAGTTTTTAAGCTCCATGAAGACAGAGATAACTTTTAATCACCATTGTATACCAAGCATCTAGCCCTGTTTGTAGTACATAATAGTCATTTATTTCAATAAATATTTACTGATTTAATTCTTACATTATGTAAATATTTTTTGTATACCTGATATGTACCAGACCCTACTTAGTCACTAGGGGAAAGTAGAAAATCAGATACTGACTTTTGGAGCTTATATTCTAGTGAAATAGGACAGAAAATAAACAAAGTAATAACTGTACTGATTTAAGAGAATGTTAATTGTCATAAAGCAAATAAAGTAAGGAATGGGATAAAATGATGGGAGTATTATTTTTGATAAGCTGAGGTATTGTAGTAAAGATATGTAAGATGAGAAGGAGCAAGTAACATGAAGAAATGAGTAAACAATGTTTTGGGAAGGAGCATCAGTGAAGGAAAAGCCTAAGGAGGAAATGAGCTTGGCATTGATGGAACAGAAAAGGCTGGAGTGGCGGGAGTGAGAAAAGGTAGAAGAGGTTGAATGAGTGAATGCTGGTTTCAGGAACTAATATTAATAGTTTGGAGAATATACATTTACATGTCTATATTGTTTGTTGTGTATGTATACTTACACACACACCCACACACCCCTAGTCTTTAATATCTTTAGGTCATTGAGATAGTTTATCAGTTTGGATTTTGGTTTCTTTTACTTTATTTTCTTAGCCTTCGTTTTCTTCTCTTTTCTTTTCCTCCATACTTTATCAAAAAAGTAAATGTAAAAATTCCATTCACAATTTAACCAATTTTTAAAAACCCACCTTAACCAATTACTTGTATTAATTTTTCTAAATTCTTTTCCTGACTTTCACATAAACATTTAAAGTTTTATAATTATTGCCTTATGTATAAATATTTCATTCCCCTTTAGTCTGATTCATACCTTTAAAAATGTAAGAATAAATTAAACATCAGGTAACACTTAAATTTTTCCTGCAATGCCTTAGAAGAAGTTTAGGGTTTTTTTTCATTTTCCCTAGGGGACTGAAGACAGATTGAGTCCAGGGAGGGACAGAGGTATTAAGCGTACAAACCATTTCATAGCTTCCTGCTTTATAGGGTGCGTTCCAAAGTAGGCATTTCTATTCACTGGCCAGAGGAAACTGTTGGCCAATAAACAGACATTTCTATTTCTTCACCTCTTGCTATTATCTCATACATTCCTTTCCCCTTTCTTCTGTTTTCCTCTTCTGTTGTGAGGTATTTACCTTTTCCAGTTAGTCATTTCTAATGGCATTAAATTATTCTCTTTGCTTTCAGTTTACTGAGAGTTGGCTGCTCTGTTTCTTCTTTCTGGGACTAGGCTTTTAATTCTGAAGGCTTTGAAATCATTTGAATCTCTCCTTTCTCCACCTATGCTTTATTCTACTATCTTTACTCTAAAAACTACCCTCTACCTTCAGCCTATGATCTGTGAATATTTCAAAGTAGAAATATTTGAAATACTGATCAGGAGGAATTTTATCAATTTCCTGAAATATCTGACTGCCTGTCTCATCCACTGTAGCTAATAACTAACAACAAATCATTCCCTTTAGTTCCCTGTAAGTTAATCATATACAATTATGAGTTTCTAAGGAGTTGCTTTGCCCTTAAGCTGAAATAGCAATATTTCAAAGTAATTCAATAATTCTTACTCAGCTTATATGTCTAATATTTAAAGTAACATCTTAAATTCAAATATATTAATGAAACTATATCAGCACTCATTAGTCAGTTAATAACTTTCTGAGCTGCCAACCAACCCTGCCTTCTCCTTCCTTTTTTTTTTTTAATAAAAGTGATCCATCCACCTCCTTGTCTTAACATTATACTTAAAAAAAACAAAAACAAACTTTTTTTAGAACAGTTTTATATTTACAGAAAAATTGAGAAGATGGCACATAGAACATAGAGTTCCATATACCCTGCACTCAGTTTCCTTTATTATTAGCATCTTACACTAGTGTAGTACATTTGTTACACTTAGTTAATCAGTTACTGATGTTGTTACTGAATAGTTTATTTAGATTTCCTTAGTGTCTTATTTTTCTTCCAGGATCCCATCCAGGATGCGTGGCACGTGACATTTAGTAGTCATGCCTTCTTAGGCTCCTCTTGGCTGGGACAGTTTTTTGGACTTTCCTTGTTTTCTATAACCCTGACAGTTTTCAAGAGCACTGGTCAAGTATTCTCTATTGGAATTCTTCGTATGTTTTCCTCGTGATAAAACTAGGATTTTGGTTTTTGGAAGGAAGATCACAGAAGTAAAGTGCCATTTTTATGATATTGTATCAGTCATACTATCAACATGATGTATCACTGTTGGTGTTGACCTTGATCACATGGCTGAGTTAGTGTTTTTCAGGTTTCTCTATTGTAAAGTTAATCTCCCTGACTCCCCTTCCTTCTCCCCGTACTATACTCTCTGGAAGAAAGTCACTATGTACAGCCCACACTTAAGGGGTAGAGAGAGAGTTACGCTCCTCCTCCTCCATAAATTATTTGAAATTTTTCTGCATGGGAGATTTGTCTCTTCTCCCTCTATTTATTCAAATATTTATTTATGTCAATAGGGATTCATAGATACTTATTTTATATTTTGTGTTATAATCCTATGCTACTTTATTTTGTTGCTTAGTTCATTCCAGGTTTGGCCATTGAGA